GCGTAGCACACAGTGGGAGAGGTTAAGCTGTGCTCACTGGTTAGAGAGACACTTAAGCATGAACACAAAACTTGCGCATGGACAGAAAAGTCCCACTAGAAAATGACCATGTTGGTTTAGAAACAAGTGGATTAATACGTCCTGTAGGAATCTAATGGTGAATAAACCAATACATTGACCAAAGGTGGCGCAATTTGGATCATGAATGCGCAAAATAAGAATTGAAATTTGTGAGGTTGTTTTTGTGGGTTTTTTTTAAAGACACAAGTAGCCCTGGCTGAGTGGCCTAATTGGTTGGAGCATCCTCCCATCCATGGAAAGGTTGTGGGTTCAATTTCCAATAAGGACACATATAGTTTTCCAGTTCTATCCTCACTTAAGGTTTGTCCAGGAGGTAACGGATTGATGTTTCTCTCTCACAGATATGTTTTCTCTCTCTCTGTCTCTCCCTTCCTCTCACTCTAAAAAATCAGTAAATATATCCTCAGTACAGATCATTTCTTAAACAGATACAAGTATTTGTGGAATAAAGCATGTGTGTTCTGGCAACAGTGTGATGTAGAGGAACCTTATTTGGGGACGAACTGGGTGCTCTGCACAGCTGTCAGGGCAGAAAAAACCCCCACTCACAGCCCTGCTGCTCATCCTCAGCTTTGGTTTAGCCACAGTGGGCACCAACCTCAGACGGAGGGCACAGACCTCAGACGGAGGGCACAGACCTCAGACGGAGGGCACAGACCTCAGGCAGCTGGCATAGACCTCAGAGGGCACAGACCTCAGAAGAAGGGCACAGACCTCAGATGGAGGGCACAGACCTCAGATGCAGGGGACAGGTCTTTGCATGAGCAGCCCAGAGGTCAGTGAGGGGGAATTCCTGGGAGGGCACCATCTCTGCAGTGCTCTGCTGAAGGGCTGTGTGTCCTGTGTCACCAAGTGTCCTGCAGTCACCTTGTCTTCTTTGCCTCCTCACAGGTACTGGCCTCCTTGCGAGTCTGTTACACAGGAGTCCAGAATATACATGCATCAAAGAGGGGGGGACCTGCAACTTCTCCCCATGCCCGCTCTACACCCAAGTCAAGGGCTCCTGCTACAGAGGGAAGGCCAAGTGCTGCATCTGAGCTGGAGCCTTGGGGGTGACAAAGGACAGGAACTACTTGTAAGTGTTGTTTTCCTAAAAGAAAACCTTTTTTTAAGCATGGCTCTGAGACCCACATGAACCCTGTGTCTCCTTTCGGAAGACGTTAGGAAAGCAAGGTTACAAACGACACAATCCTGCTAAGTGAGTTGAGCCAGTCAGAGCAAGACAAGCATCATATGATCTCACTCATAGATGGAGTCTGGTGAACAAAATAAACTGATGAATGGAGTGGATCCAGAGACATGGAAGCATGGAGCAGAGTGCAGAATCTTGGAGGGAAGGTGGGGGAGGCTGGGTGGGTGGGAGATAATCAACCAAGGACCTTGTATGCAGATATGCATGGCCCAGGGACACAGATAATTGGGTGGTGAGGGCCTGGGGTGGCGGTATAGGGTTAATGGGGGAAAATAGGGGACATATGTAATACTTTCAACAATAAAAGATTTTAAAAATATAAAAAGAAGTAAGACCGGCCAGGCCACACAAGCTGAAAGCTCTGGAAGGTGGGGAGGGGGAGAGAATGAGGGCCACAGCCATGTCACCTCCTCCTTACTTCATTACCAAACCAACGTGTGAAAAGTGCAGAGGGTCCACTCGCAATCAAGAGTGCCTGACCAGGGGCAAACGACACCACCACCCTCCATCCTGGGCCCAGCAGGATCTCAGCCCAAATCCAGAGTGCGTAGCATGCCGGGCAGGGGGCAGTGGATTGGCCAAGCTTGCCTTTTGAGGGCCTCCGGTGGGACTAACCAAAGGACTTGTATGCATGCATATAAGCCTAACCAATGGACATAAGACACTGGGGAATAGGGGAGGCTAGGGGACTGTCTAGGGCGGGGAAAAAAATGGACACATATGTAATACCCTTTGTAATAAAAAATAAAATTTGAAAAAAAAAAAAAGAAAATTTAAAAAAAAAAACAAAAAAAAACAACAAAAAACCACTTCTCTTCTGCCCGGCCAGCAGGGCACAGTGGTTGAGCATCGACCTATGAACCAGGAGGTCACTATTCAATTGCTGGTCAGGGCACATGCCCAGTTTGTGGTGTGCAGGAGGCAGCCCATCAATGATTCTCTCTCATCACTGATGTTTCTATCTCTCCCTCTCTTCCTCTCTGAAAAATATATTTTTTTAACCCCTTCCCCGGCAGAAACGTGTATACTCATTTTCACAAAATGTTCTTTTTCAGTCATCGACGAGTATACTAAGAAAATATGGTAAAAAAATATGGTTTATAGGAAGACGAGTTACAAACTGTTTTCATAACCAGCATCAAAAATACTATATAGAAAAATAACATCTACATCTATACTAATAATAGGGTAATATGCTAATTAGACCAGACATCCTTCAGGACAAAGCCATGAAGGCCGGGCCAAGGCAGAGGCAGTTAGGGGTGGTCAGACAGGCAGAAGAGAACAGTTAGGGGGATCAGGCCGGCAGTGGAGAGCAGTTAGGGGGTCAGGATGGCAGGGGAGAGCAGTTAGGGGGATCAGTACGGCAGGGGAGGGCAGTTAGGGATCAGGCCGACAGGCAGGCAAGTGGCTAGGAGTCAGTGGTCCCAGATTGTGACAGGGATGTCCCACTGCCGGTTTAGACATGATCGCAGGCATTGGGCCTAACTGCAGTCTGACATCCCCTAAGGGGTCCCGGATTTGGAGAGGGTGCAGGCTGGGCTGAAGGACCCCCCCAGCCCCAGTGCAAAATTTCATGCACCAGGCCTCTAGTTTAGTAACTAATCCTTTATTTGACTGATCTACTACTGCAATCTACCTTTTTGTTTTTCTCTATATCTTTCACTGATTGTATTTTTAAAAATTCTGCTATCATTCTTTTTATGGCACACCTGCTGTACCACTCCTCATGGCCTGCCTCCTGCACCAACCAGCCTGCAGACAGCCTCCTTCCCATCCACATCCACAGCTGACGGCCCACAGCAGTCCATGACGCCCTCGGCATCGCTAAGTCATAAACACAAATGAACTTCCACTGTCATACGAATGTTTGCCTTCATCCCACCCTCCTGGTCAGTTTAGACACAGCACCCCCTGTTGGGGCAGGAGGCAGAGAGGAAATGCCAGTTCAGGAGTTGGCAGCTCACCTGCCCTCGGGCAGCCTTGGTGACTAAGCTACCCCATGAGGTCTCCATGGCCTCTCCCTGCCCTGAGAAAGCTCCGGAGTCCTATGGACAGTGCCAGGCGGGGGCTGAAAATATCGGGGACACGGGGAAAAGGAAGGGTTCTCTAACCAC